CTTAGGTGGTAGGAGGTTCTTCTGCTTTTAGAAGTTATATTGCTGCTGTAATACGGGTGCTCAGGTGAGGGACCCACAGACTGCTGGGTGGTGGGGGAGTGCTGGTGCTCCCACAGATCCCCAAATAAACTGAGTATTCTTAAGAACTTAGTGCAGGACTCTTCTGCGCTGAAACTGCTGCCTTACATCACTTGTTCAGTGAGGTGGCCCATAATTTGACTTTGTATTTTGCACATATGGTGACTCCACAGAGGCTTGTGAGAAGCAGGGCTGTGGTGCACTCACGTAAAGTAGAGGAACAGCGCAGTTCAGCAAGTGTTGGGATCCACCGATGTACGTTCCTGTAGCCTGCTGGTTGGGTTTGCTGCTCTTTATAGCTGGTTGGGTTTTGTTGGGCTTTTTTGTTTGGTGGTGGGTTTTGGGTTTTTGTTGTTGTTGTTGGTTTTGGTTGGGGTTTTTTTTTTTGAAAGACGGTACTTATAAAACGAATTCTTTCAACATGTCTTTCAGTATAAACCTCTGCACATTTTCTTTGCCTTATCATAAACTTTAGGTGAAAGAAAGTAAGAATTTTAGACTTTGTTACAGGCTTGTTTGCCACATCAATATTTTTTTATTAAGATCTGTTTGTTTCTTAAGAAACCGTGTAGTGTATTCTAACTTCCAGGTTGCCCCAGAGCCTATTAGAGGATGTACAAACCATAGCCTGTAAAATGCTTCTGTTTTCCTGTGTTTTGTACTTTTTTTCCCAGCCATGTTTTCCGACTGGCAGGAAAACACGGACTTTTGTGAAGGGGTGCACCACGTGGGGGACTGAGACCTCACACCGTAGTCCTTTTCCGTCTTAAGTGTCCTGAGGACCTGCTGGGTGATACAGTACAGCTGATTTGGCTCTGCTCCTGGACTACTTCGCTATTCCAGGAAGAAGTTTTACAGGAATGCTGATCTTGTATAAAGCACATGGCTAATTATGAAGGAATCATTTTAGATTGGAATCTCGCAGGAACATACTGTAATTATCATTTAGATCTAAATGAATCCAAGCAGTCTTTTCTCAAATTGTAATGTTCTGTTTATTAATGCATTTCCTCCACTTGGCATTCAGCCCCAGTAATGCAGCGGTAGTGTGTAAAATGTAGAACCGATGACATCTCTTCTTTAAGGGAATGCCTGGCTCCCAAAACATGATAACTTTCAATGGAAAAGGAAAGGAAGGGTGAGAAAGCAGCGTGACTAGATGCTAAAGCAACGTAACTCATGAATTTGGAGATACGGGGTTTTCTTCTGAACAGTCCTTTGTGTTTTTTGGTGATCCTTAGCTGTATTTTAACCTCTTCCCAAGACCATAACTTGTGACTTTTCAAATGCTTGCAGATCATTGGGTAAAAGATTACATTTACAGAAGATACTGACAAAGCATCTTAAAAGTGTGTCTGTTTAATTTTAGGACAAGGAAACCTGCATGGGTGTCAACAATCAAAGTTACATATGTGAAACGGGCCACTGTTGTGGACAATCCCAGTGTTGCAACTACTACTATGAACTCTGGTGTAAGTCCTTCCATTTTGTATGGCTTCCCTTCCTAATCTGCATGGCTCTCATACCATACTACAGGTCTGGCTTGTGTCCCGTGGGGTTTTGTATTCAGCCCTTGTTATGCATTGCCATTGCATTTCACTGCAGCACAAACCGGAGCTGACCTGATAGGGCAAGGGAAATAGGGCTGTTACAATGGGCATCAACTGCTTTTTGAGGAGCAGCGGGTCATCTTGCCACGTCATCACTGGAGATTTGTTGTGTGGTCTTCTCACTGATTTGGGCAATACTGAGGGTACTCGAAATAACATTGAGTGTGAGTGAGGAAACCACGCTTGAGGAAGAAATGCCAATGCGCACACCACTAGAGTTTGACACACGAAAACAGTGAATTAATTCAGTATCTTTCATCTTATTGTTTTAGTTCTTTGCAAGAACAACAGCTTAAATGTGATTTATCTTTTTAAAGCTGTCATTTCAAGGAGGGGGGCCAGGAAGTTTATTTTCTTCAGGAGACATTGTGTTTGGAGACAGCTCCTCGGGTGGAGAGGGTCTTGGGCAAATCTTGCGGGCTGACAGTGGCTGAATACTGTGGGCCGTGAGGAACATACATTGCCCATTGCAACCCCTCTTACCTCCTCTCCCAAAATCTGGGTTTTAAAACTACCCATGTTTCTAGTGAGTGGTTGAGTGAATATACCTAAGTCCCTTTAGATGGCAGCAGGCAGGTCAAAGCAGGTCAGCAAAACTCTGACAAAGATATATGGAAAAATGGGAAGTTGAAAGGATAGGAAAGTAAGAAATGCTGAATTTTAAAGGCAAACTTTGAGTTGTGCCGGTCTGATGGTGTCTTCCTTTCTTGAGGAGGAGAACAAAGGGTCGAACATGGATGTTGACATGCTATTGTACTGCCAGGAGCCTAGGCTGAGAAGGCATCTGTGCTCCCAGAATTTGGAAATGTGGAACTCTGAACATTGTACCTCCACATTAGAGACTGGAGGTGTTTTCTCACCACACCCAATGGTATCTTGTAGCTTTTATGCAACCGCACTATCTACTTAATCCCTCTGCTGTGCCCACAGTTTCACTTTCTCAAAGTAGCATGTGTGTGGAAATGTATTATACATACAAAAAGCATCACTTAACCTGGATTCAAGGACAGGAATAGCTGACACTTTATCCTTTAGTCTAGAAACATGCTTTTGCTTTTCAAATTAGCCAGTGAAGCATGGGGGACATGGCTGTAAATTAAACAGGACTCTAATAGACTCCTTCAAGACACACTCTGCATCAGACTGTAGTGGCTGGCTGTGTTGATATTAATGGCAGGATATTAATGTATTGCAGACCTTTTACAGCAGCTTTATTTTCAGAAGTCTCCGAACAGTTCCAGAAACGATTCAGGACTGGGTGGGTAGCTCCAGGGACCCTATTAGGCTGAGAAACGGGCATGAATGTGTGGCTGTCTTGGACTCCCTGGTTCAGATCGTAGCACTCGGCAACACAGGCAGGACAGATGGCTGGAATTCGTTCGGACTATATGGGGATGCATGGACAAAGCAGAGTGGGGAAGGTCAGACCCGGTTTTGGATTTGTGTGGGTGGGAATGCAGAGGAAGAGGCGTGTATGCAGGGGCTTACAGACTCTGTGGCAAGCAGGATCTAAATTGAGCAACAGCACGGAGTACAGCTGCACACTGGAGCTTGTTGCACGGTCGCCACATTTCTCCCATGGACGTCTTGAAAAAGAGGCTTAACTGAATTGCATACAAACATTACAGTCTGAGCAATAGCCCCCTGCCATTTTAATGGAGTGATTTTACTTTAACTGTCTTTGCACCCTCAGTATGGCACAGACTTTTATACTTGGCAGTGCCTGGCTGCATCATAAAAGTTGTTGGGAGATAAAAACAGAGTTTGTTAGAAGGAGGCAGAATATTTCAGGCTTCTTTCTAGCACAAGCACACAGGTCACGCTCAGATCATGGAATAAACATGTTAGTGGCACACACTGCTGGATGGTTCCTCGGCAGGAATGGGTTTCTGTGTCGAGATTCCTTCTACGTTGCAGAGAGCATCATATACAACACTGAGATGAGGGGAATAATGCAACCGTGAGACCTATTCTTCTAGGCTTTCTGCAAATTCAGGCAAGCATCCAACATTGATTTAAAATTGGTTAATGTTTTCAAAGCTTGCTTTGCCATTATGAGTGTTAGAAAAAGGTTTCTGGGATTGGGAGGCGAGACACAGGGGGAGCATGTCCTTGAAATTTAAGACGACTCATATTCTAGAGCTTGCAACCACAGCTGCAGAACGTACCTGCTGCTCCAGGAATCGTTGAATGTCTTTGGTAGGTACATGTGGTGAGGCACTCTTAAGACCTTCAAGGTGAATAGCAGTAGGGTATGTAAATAGTGTAGAGCAGTGAATTGATGGTGTGGAGAGCAACAGCTTTACATGCTTGGGAATAGAATAGCTTTTTAAAAGTTAATAATAACTTTTGATTAATGAACAGTTAAGTTAGCATTTTTTACGTTTTAAGTATGGCTTCACGGTTGTTCTATGTTTTGATTTTAACCAGTGTATGCATGTACTGAAGTAGCTTTTGAGAAGTTTCTGCTCCTCTTGACCTTCTCAGACCACCAGTGCTATTGTGTGCCTGAAAACAGACCTTCTTGCTAGTCCCATCGAATTAAATCCTGGATTTATTTACCACCACAGCTTTGTGGGGAGAAGCAGCAGAGGAGGGTGGCATTTGAAATGGAAAACTAGTCTGTCTTCGCTGGACATGCCTTCTGAAATGTGATCCTGTCTTGTGGCCACTTGGAGTTTTTCCCGTAAAAAGGATCTTTTTCCCTGTTTAAGAATTTGAGGGAAGTTTGTCTTTGAAAATGGCTGATCTCAGCATTTCTAGACAGCAAGTAAAGTTGTGGTAATTACAAACCAGTCCTTGAGGGTAGTGGAATAAGATGCAAAATCAAGGTATTATTTTGTTAAGGGGTGGAGTGGAGGAATGGAGAGCATGATATGCCAAGCAGGTGGACAGGCTGTGTTTAAAATTGGATAACAACCCGATTCAGATTCCCCACCCATCTCTTATTTAAAAAAAAAAAAAAAAGTGCCATGTTGCCAAAGAATAAAACTATATCCAAATTTTTATATATAGGTCTAATAGCTATATAAAGGTCTAATTAGTTCTTAGCTCAAGCTTGGTAGCTGGTAATACAGGGGGAAAAAGTGCACTATGTCTTTTAATTTTCTTGGAATAGAATCATAAAAAGTAAAAGGGAAGAAGGGGCTTTACTGTTGCATTTCCTCACATAGGGAAAGGTGTTTGTTTGGATGGTTGAGCTGGTTCAACATTTTAGCCTAACAATTCCTTTGGGCTCCCCAGAGAGCTCACGATCCCCAAGAGGGAGATTGTGGTCTTGGGAGAATGGCAGCAGCTGCTGGATTTTGCTTACTAACAGTTTTTATTCAGGTCTGTTATGATGTGATTGTGATTTGCTGGAGTTTTCCAATGTTGGCCTTTGTCCAGGCCTGACAGGTGTCTTACGGCGTAAATGTTCCAAAATACCACTTCTCAAAATACAGGAGAGAAGGTAATCAAGGAATGCAGTTTCCGCATTTTGCAGGTTAAGAATTAAGGCTCAGATGTTTGGATTTTCCCAAGTTTAAATGTATAATGTGAACTGAAAACCAAATCCAGATCTCCAGATCCATCCTTGTGTCTCTCCTTGCCTATTGAGGACCAGCATCAAATTAGATGATTGCAGGGGCTCTGAACACAGCAAGCAAAGCTGTAGAAAGTATTTTGGACGGTGCGGTTGGAAGAATAGCACACTGTGCTTCAGGAATCGTGGAGCATGGAAACAGGCAGCTGGTCACTGCATGCAGAAGATCTCAGTTGTAGGATTGCAAAGTTAGAGGGCTTAGCTGTTCTTGGGTCATTTAGGTACTGTACAACAAACCAGCATTGGCATGAGTGAGCGTTCAGATGTTGGATGTGCCTATTTTGCTTCGTTTTGGCTGCTTTAGCAGTGATACTGAGCCCTTCTGTTTCTGAAAGAAAAAAAAAAAAAAAGAAAAAAGATCTTGACTGTTTGGGCCCTAGCGGAAGGGTTGTGCAGGAAAAAAATGTTCTGTTTGCAGGCAGCACAGTTGATGTTTTTGCTGATTTTGAACATTTTGCTCATCTCTGCACGCTTCCCCTTGGAATCTCTAGACAGCTCTTTTCCCCAAAAAGCATGCTGCCAGAAAATTTTGGCAAGAATCCGGTTAGTTGCTAAAACTAAAGCAACTGCTGTACCACATACATGTTCCAGCTCAGCTTTATAATAGGAATTCATTTCCAAGACTTCGCTGCAGTCTCCAAAACCCTCAGTCAAACAACGCATCAGTCCCGTGTTTTCTTCCTCTCCCTGTGTTATCTTATCCTTCAGTATAACCATGTCCTTTTTCAGAGAGGAACTTGCCTGTTCCTTGTCTTTCACCCAGCCTTCTACATGGTTGTGCTTGCTTTCTCTTTCCTAGGTGTATTAAACTTCACCTTTGGCTGCTGTTACTCCTCAGCTGGTTCTTCAGCCATAACCATCCCATGGCAAAGCCTAGCTGAAAGTATGGGGCAAACAAAACAGATGTCACAACCATGCAGAAACTGATGATAAATAGGGTCACTGAGGGAGTTATTTCCCGATTTCCTTGTACTTTTTGTAGCCTAATCCAGACAGCAGAATCGTCTTAAGCTTGCTTTGGTGTGGCTCAGTAAAATTCACAGATTCAAAGGAGAAGGCAAGCTGTCTTGCGTCGTCTGACTGTGCAGATACTAACTTTTGCCCTGTGTGGCCTGCTTCCACCTGCTCTGTGTTAAACAGCCAGGAAAGGCAGGAGAGCTTGCTGGTGCTGCTTCACCCCCTGCCTTCCGTACCTCCAGCCCAACTCCTCACCAAATATCCAGATCTGTTGGTGCAGGCTGTTCTCCAGATCTTGTTCCCAGATGTTCTGGACATAGTC